CCTGGGAGCGAAAGCGCGCCAAGGTTCGAAACGCGCCCGTTCCGCGCGGCATGTTGTCGGCTGCTCGATCGATCGACTCTCGGGTATCTTCCGCCTACATCTCGCGAGCTCAGGCGTACGGTTGGAGAGCTCACCGTGTGAGGTCACTTCGACTACAGGTGCGACTAATAAATGAAGACATATTAAAAACCTACCGCACGCAAATTTTTTGCAAAGCAGATTTTTTATTCACTCACTACAAATATTATTTCACAATAAAGTCACATTAAGATATTACAAATATTATTTCACAATAAAGTCACATTAAGAAAACCGGGTACGATAGCTCGTCATCAGTTTATGTAAATAAGAGCAATAGCCAATCAGGAAAAAAGTTGAGACCAGAAAGAAGATTAGCTAAGGTGCCGACAAAAAACAGAGCAAACAGTATGACACGGATTATAGAAACAGTACAGTAAACGTTAAAAGGCAAATTACAAAGAAGAGCAAACATTGAAACCTAGATTGAAACTCATATTACAAAAAAAAACATCAGTAAAGTAAACATTGAAACTTACAAGTTATATAATAATTGAAGCACAAACTACGAGATCAGTAGAGCAAATAGGAAAAAAGTGCCATCAAGGAATGGGTCGTGAAAACAGATGATATGTATGTGCTGATAAGACCTTGTTTTCTGATTTTACTAAGCATGTGAAGGTGGTAACAATCAAATACACACATTCACAAAATTTTGTTTGTATTTATATACAGGTCTATTCACTTAGGAAAAAAAAATCTGCAATTTTCTCCGCTCCGAAAAGTGACTAAAACATAGTAAACCAGCAAACATTATAACTCAAATTATAGCAAGACCCAGGTTTGACTTCTGATGGAGATATATTCGGACATCGCAGAACTTTTCTAAACGTATGCAATAGACGACGCCCCCCACGCATTATTGTTTCATTTCAAATGAATCTTTAAATTGTGACCAATAATTTCGATAAAGGGGATGTGATTTTCATAGCTACAATAGGTAATAAGTCTTGAAGGTATTTGCCATCCCACTCAAGCGTCCGGCACGACTTTTTTACCGGTGCGCGACCAAAGTGCTTTTGCACTCTACGGCGACCGATGATTGCCCCTGTCGGCCCACGTATAGTACACGACTTCGCACACGAAGACGAGTGCGGGCGGACAGGGTGTGGCTCAGGAGCAGCAGCAGGAAGGCCGGCCAAACCTGGAGCAGGTTGAGTGGCCGCGTCCGCTGCTCGTCGTCCCCGTAGTGCAGGTTGACGTGCATCCTCAAACAGGTGACGACGGCCATGTGGTGCTCAAGTCCGTTCTCGATAAGGCGTAGGCCCAGCATCTCTACCGATTTAGCCAGAGGGGAGCCCTTCGAGAAGGCGAAGCGTGCGTGCGCTCGGATATTGGAACGCCAATCGAAACGCGTGGAGCCGTTTCGGAGGCGTCGGAATTGTCCGACCTTTTTTTCTCCGACCTGGCGATTTTTCCAAAATCCCCAAAAGTGCTGTCCGACCTAGGTTTTGTCCGACCTAATTTTTTCCGACCTAATCGATATGCTGAAATTTTGGAAAATGTGGCTACTACAGTTATACTTTACCGCACGTTTGGTTTTCCTACCCCAGGGGGCCGTAGCGCCGAACGGGCATTGCAGGTAGGCAACACGCACGCCTGCGTGCGGTACAGCATAACCACGACGACTGGCGGTTCGTCTACCCCAGGTGGCCTTACGGGCAGTGCGGCAGTGTAGCACTAAGCTTTAGACGTGAATCACCTCCGTGCAACCG